CAAGATGTTCTATTCAGTGTAAAAGTGAGAAATACCTTTTTATGTATGTATTTATTGGTGAATGAATGAATGAATGGATGAAATCTAAGTGCAAGATAACCTTATGTGCCTCTAATTCAGCTATTTGGTAAACTCCTCTATCTAGAACATAACAGAAAGAGCCCAGAAAGTGTGCAAAGAAAATGCACAGGATCATAGGATGATAATTGTAGTTAACATTTATTTATTTTTTGGAGAGCTTATTATAGGCCACGGATTGTACTTAGTACTTTACATGCTTTATTTCTTTTAATCCTCACATCCCTATTTGGTGCGCATATTATTACCATTTACATTCCACAGACAAATATATAAATTGCCTAAGGTTCTAACTCCATTCTGCATGGATGAAGTCTGTGCATGTAACCACTGTGCTTTCCAGCTTGCCCCACATGAGGTATTATATGCATTAACAAGCCTGAGAAAGATTATCTAGGTCTCTCTCCCCCAACTCTATCAGACCTTTTCAAAACTTTTACTTTGCACACAGTTGTAACATCCAAGAATCTTCATTCTCCAAGCCCACAGCAGAGCAAAGGCAGCAAATGAACAAAAGCTCATGATAGGCCATTTCATAAGATGCTAATTTACAAGCTGACTGTAAGGAAGAGGCCAAAGAACTTTCTTTTTTTTTTTTTTTTTTTTAAGGAGGTAAATCTGATACTGCTAGATGGACAATAACCTGAGGCTATGGTGGCTAGTTCTGGTAAACCATCAACTACCTGACCCCTGATTTTCAGCCACAGGAGCCTATGGGTCTAGGGGAGTATCTGAATCAAGGAATTATCTTTGGAAGTCTTGAGAAGGGAGGAGTTGGAACCCTAGAAAGGTAGTCTCCAGGATGACCTTATACTCATTAAAATCCTATGTATTCAGACGTGCCACTGTGGAGAAGTTTGATTATCATATACGTGCAAGGAAATTGAAGTTTGGGGGGAAAAAAACAGTCCAGGGAGAGATTTCAGATGGTTTTAATTGGGCTTCAGCTTTAGGAAAGGCTAAGGACTGAATTCTGGGCTTCAGTTTTAAAGCAACCATCTCTCTCTCTCAAAACCTTGAATTTGAGCATCTGAGGAGTATTGGATGAAACAGCCCTTGGAGTTTATACCCAGCCTGCAGCGATATGCTGTGCCTCTCCTCCCTCAAAGGAAGCTTCAGTTCTAATCACACTAGGCTGCCAGGCATCCTGTCCCCCTTCAAACACTGTGTTTCTTCCTGCTTGTCTGTGCTTGCAACTTTCTGTTCTCCTTCACTTCTCTCCTAACACCACTTGCCCTGCATTGCTCCCCATGTTTTCCTTGAATTTTTCCATGAACGCTTGATTTCTCATTGACCTTTCCTTTGAACTTCCCTGGAACCCAGCAGTCAATTCATTGCCCTGCCTACCACTGTTTTATGTGTATTAGCCTTAGCCTTTAACTTGATTATAAAGGCTTTAGTGGAAAGAGTAGATGTCTTCAAGTCAACCCACCAAATATTTATCAGGGCCAATTAAGTGTTAAGTAGAGTATTAGGTACTTAGTAGGAATAAAAAACTGAGCAAGTTATAAACCTCAACCTTCAAGGAATGTACAGTCTCATGTGGGAGGCAGAAACACTTCCCAATAGTTCATGGAAAACTGTATCTGATTTTAAAATAAAGAATTATGGAAGCACCAGAAAAGGGAAGACTTTAATTCTGATAGTGAGTGGGAGTTCGAAAACCTTCCAGGCATGCTCTGTGAAAAGGAAAGAGTGAAATCAGGAAGGAGCACTAGAAAGCAGAGGTCTGGGGAATGTGGTCACAAGGGGGGCTTCTGGGAGGTTAGGCTGTAACAGCTGACTGGGTCCAAATCCTAAGCATCCTGGAATGCTCTGCCAAGAAGTCAAGTCTTCACTGCAGGCAAGGGAGACAGGGAAGGTAAAGTGTTTAAGCAGGGAGAGGACTCAGACCAGCAGCCCCTCTACACTGCCAGGCAGTCCTAAGTGAATATGTATCAATTATTAACCAATATACTGACTCATATGAGAGGAACAGACAACGTCGAAAGCTTTAACCCTGAATCCAGGGATCCAGCAAAGTAAACAGGGCTCACCTGGAAACTTGGAGACTGGTTGCCAATGGAAGAGGAATTAGATTTATTTGCGATGCTGAAGGGCAGAATTAGATCAGAGAGATGAAGCCACAGGGACACAGAATGCTGCTCAATGAGATGGTAAACTTTGGAGCTGTTATAGCTCTCAGGGAATTTATTTGCAAAGTGGCACTCTGGTGGGACATCGTTGATGGGACAACTGTTGGTCAGGAAAAGCATGGAGGGAATTCATATGCTGGATAAAAAGGATTCAATCCGTGGTTCCATAATGCTGGCTCAAAGATCCAGGCCAATTTGTGATGAAGTTTTCACTTCCCAATGGGAAAATAAGGAATGATAAGGTTGTAGAGTGAGTTTTCAGAAAGCTAAAATTTTCCATTTATTTA